GCTCTGTTTATTAGAGCGGCTAGAGTCAGATGGCCAGGGGTGGGTGGGCTACGGCGCGAGCGGCCCTGCTAGGTCACTTGGGGCATAGCCTTCACTGCGAAACGGCATCGTCTCGCACCCTCAGAGGGGCACACACCCCTCCCACTAGGTAAAGGATAAAGGATAAAGCATTTGCCGTTGATCAATCCCTTTTGGGATGCGGCACGCATTCTACTTCCATTTGTACATTCGTAGTGGCGTTTTGAATGCGATGTGGCCTATACAATGACTTGCGGGGGCCAGCCGATGTACAAGTCAGTGTTTTTTATCCTCCCAGATACGCAGTGATTCCGCGCAGGGTCAATCCTATGTTGCTACAAATACCAACGGAGGGGGTCAACGGGTCGTCAAAAATTTCCGAAAAGTCGCAACGGTAGAACCGACCCTGATTCCGCGTCAAGTTAGATATAATGCGCCATAGTAGTCCTACATCACACAGCACGCGTTGCGACTCGTCCGCTGACCCCCGTCCCTGACTTCTCGCCGCGCGACGGGCATCCTGTTGGGTACCCGCTATGCTTGGCCGTTCTAAGCCAATTGTTGCAAGAGGTCCCTCCTGTTTAGCAGTTTCTCCGTTATTCCTCTAGAAATATAAAAAATGGTCAGAATAAAGTCATATAAAAACGCAGTAAACTAGTTTAGGGTTGAACCCGTCCCAGTGGCTCCACTACCGTGGGATAAGAGGGAAGGTTTGCTTTATCTCAACACACACATGATATTTTCGTACCTGATCAGTAATATCCAAATCATTGTCAGCTTCAAAGTGATCATTGAGCCCATTGAGAAAATTCCTCATCGAGTCATTGAAAGAGTATGGCATTGCTGGAAAGTCGTAACTCGTTAGACTAGATTGAGAGTAGATGAACTCATCACTCTAATTCCCCCCCCCTCACCACTAAGAACTGACCAACTTCCTCTCTCGGGGTGCTGGCTACCAGTGGCGGACGACGTCTTTCAATCGGCTTGTCGAAATCCTCAATCTGAGGTTTAGCACGCCTCCTCAGCCGCGTGTCATCCGGATTACATGTGTGCTCGTTGAAATCATCTATTCGGAGCTAAAAGCAATTCTTGTTTGTGACTTTCTATCTACATGAACATTCGAAAAAAAAATAGGGATAATGAACAAAAAATCCCCACAGAATGAATTTTCTGGGAAGCAAGTAGTGCAAGTAATATGACGGCAGAATGAATAGCAAGGCATCGAGCTGAATTTGTAATGAAATCAAAAGTTGAACGCAGCAATTCGGTAATTTTCGCCGAATTAGAAGCAGCTGTGAAATTCGAAGGAAAGCTTCCCATTGAGTAACTCCAGAGGCCATCAGTGGGCTCTCCTGAAGGTGTATAAAGATAGAACCTTGACTCCCCTTTCAGCCTGATGACGACAAGTTCAGCGCTTTCAGGGAGCGTCCAGCTTCCTACTAGGTCAGATCACCAGAGCTGTGCATATTAAACGCTAAGGTAGGCTTAGCTCAACGCTACTAGGATCCAATTGTTTAAACCAAATCCCAAAGGTTGGCCTGCTTGAATTTAAACAGTCTAAAACATAACGAGTCTCCTGATCGAGGGGACCTTGACTGACAATGAGAACTTGAACACCCCACGATTTCGTGCACACCGATTGAGGTGTAACGTTTTGTTGGAAATTTGGGACCGCTGCGATAGCAAGACACCTTTCAGTTATGCAACTGCCAAAAGCGGGGAGGGAGGTGTGGATTCGATTCCCGCGTGGGACGAGGTGTTTAGCTAATAATTCAAAAATCGCAAAAACAGTTTGAGTAAATGAAGTGGAGTACCTACATATTTGGCGCTTGCAAGAACCATTCAGACGTACGGCGCAGATGTCAAGCTCGTCTTATACGTGGAGTAAGAACGCGGTCTTATGGAGCGTTCAGAGTTGGCGATCGTACTGCGATGGCGATTAACGACTAGGCGATTAGTCTACGATGAAAAAATCTACGAATAGATCAGGCGATTAGGGGAGTAGGCGACTAGGCGATTAGGCGATCAGGCGATCGCTCAATGGGCGGAGCAACAAATTAACACTTATCCTGCTCTTATCGCCTACTGGGCTGCTTGCCTACTCGCCTAATCGCTCGAACGCATCGCCAACTATGAACGTCCCGTTTCTGTCTTCTGTTTTATCAAAACATGAAATAGCAGTCGAGTACTCATTTATGTTCTGCTAAACTGACTCATTTAATACGTCATTTTTCAGAAAGTTTCGCGAATCTGGGAAAGGAATGTGTACATGATCAAGGGAAACTGCAAACGAGAGCGAAAAGGATTGAGCGCACTTCAACCGAATAACTCCGCCCTTTGGGGGTTTTCCAAAGAGTACATAGGCGATTTGGAGATCGACTACTTTTCGTCGAATTTCCAGATCGCTTGATTTCTGAACCGTCGAATCTCACAAAACATTAGATAGCGGAGCATAATTGTGGTGAGAGCCCATGCGAAGTTTTCATTTGAAGAAAATGCTTCGCGAACAAACCGTCTTGCTTGACTCTCTCAGGAGACCCTTTACTGCTCAAGTGCTACGGATTCACCTTTCGATAGATCTAACAACCAAAAAAGTAGGGTGCATTCAGTGAACAAAAAAGGTAAGTAGAACATAAGAAAGCCGGCAAAATAACCCTATACCTTTTCCATAGGATTGTTCGGGATGCATACGCTCATCTCGTAACGACAGCCACTCGAGCGTTGTACGTGACAGTAGTAGATAATTCGAACACAATCTTTCATCAACACTCGCCGCTTTTGCGAGACTAATCGATCTGAGAGAAGCTGAAACAGTAAAGAGACTAATTAAAAATTCAATACAAATTGAAATAGCCAAGTAAGCAATATTAATAAAACAAAATAAATCAATATAAAGTTTGTGCGAATGAAATAAGACACTCAGATACGTCTTTTATTCTTTGCAATTACATTCAGACTCTTTTTCAAGCAACGATGTAACGACCACGATATAATTACCGTGGCGATTCTCTTTTCCATGGAAGAGGGCTGGGCAAAAAGGTTAGTCACAGCCAATTCAAGTCTGTCAAAGTCAGCGAACTTTTTTGGGTAAGGAATTAAGAAACTAAGGCCAGGGTAGCCTGGACGGCGTACGAGAGGTTAATAACCTCACTCGCCCCACACAAATGGTCAACCGTGGGTTGCGCAGTTCTCAACGAGGGGAGTGGTACTGGAGTTTCTTCGAAGAATAGAGCCGCAATAGAGGTTGCAAAGATCAAAAGGTTGCAAAAAAGGTGGTAGCAGTTTTGGAAGTTGAAAGGGCGTAGTGGCAGAAGAAGGGATCGTCTATGAGGGACATATTTCCCCCACCGTCCTTCGCACGAGGGCTACTCCAGGGGTGAACATCAAGTTCCTCCTTAGGTAAGGTCCGGAATTTGGGGAGAATTCGGAGAAAAGCATGAAGGGATTAAAATTAGAGAAATTGCCGCTTCACGAGGCATATTTCTTCACCGTCCTTCGCACGATGGCTATTCTATGGGTGATATCAAATTCTGGCTTAGGGTGAGGTAACCTCAATACATACTAAGAACCTCTGATTTGCTCGTAACAATAACCCAAGTCCAAGCATGACAATAGGCTTAAGCATAAGCTAATGTGTAATCATAACTCTAAGCCTCAGCCTGAATCCAACCTTAAGCTAGAATCATCGTGCAGCGCAAGAACCAAATGTCTCCCGCCCGTCCTTATGGGTTAACAAAGAAAACATTAAAGCTTTTGTGCGAAATAAATAAACACTCAGTGCGAATATTTTACTTCTATTACTGCAATCTTTACCTTCACACTCTGGCGCTATACGCGATATTACGAGGGCACTGTGCAGGCTCATGCATTTCAAACCGCGTGGAACATTTTTCGTTCTCGTTGGGAACGAGACGACCTCAGGCGGGGGAGAAGGACTCAAATGTGCGTGAGCCATTTTTATTTTCCCTGGAGCTCCTGCCTTTTCCTAGGCATAGTCGTAAAGGGTCCCCCCCATTTATTGCTATAGCGCCCAAACACTTTTTCTAGCAATGATGTAAGCGCCAGGATATAATCACCATGGCTATTTTCTTCTCCCATACAGAGGAGAGATGTGAGCAAAAAAGTTGGTAACAGCGAATTCAGGTCTAACGAAGTTGCGATTTTTTTCTGGGTGAAAAAACTAAGCGGGTAATGCATTATTGGTGTGATGTGGCCTGTGCAACAAATTCCCCTTCACAGACGGCTTGAAATTCGGTGCATTTATATTCCCAGACAAATCTGATACCAACTAAACGAGTCCGGAGGCATGTGAGGCCTGGGTAGCCTGGAGGGCGTACGAGAGAATCTGATTCCCGAACCGCCCGAGAGCTTAATAACGTCACTTGTTCCACACAAATGGCTCGAGCGTGGGGGTTGCCCAGTTCAACGAGGGCGAGGTGTAGCTAGAGCTTCTCGACGAACGGAGCCGCGAATAGAGGTAGGCAAAATCAAAAAGTTACAAAAAAGTGGGTCGCATTTTTTGAAGTTGAAAGGGCCGTAGTGGCAGAAGAGGGGGGATCGTCTATGAGTGACATATTTCCCCACTGTCCTTTGCACGAGGGCTAATCCTGGGGTGAATATTAAATTTTCCTTAGGTCACGTCTGATTTTGCCAGTTGAATTCGCGAAAGAGTCATACGGATTAAAATTAGGAGAAATTTGCTGCTTCACGAGGCATATTTCTTCACCGTCCTTCGCACGATGCCTATTCTATGGGTGATATCAAATTCCGGCTTAGGTGAGGTAACCTCAACACATATTAAGAACCTCTGATTTGCTCGTAACAATAACCCAAGCCCAAGCATGACAATAGGCTGAACACATTGACGACAACGCGAGTTTTGGGTTTTTTTTCGGCCACGTGGACGCGGGCATGTTTGCTGGGTGGCGCTCGGCCTCGTCGTTCAAGCAGATTTTGAGTTATAAATACACAACTAATGATCAATTCAAAACCAAATCAGTAATGAGCGCAACCTACCAGGGGTACAGTAGTGGAATTTCGATCGAAAGACATGAAATAACAATGAAAAAGCGAAATTTTTCAGAACTAGCTGCAATGGACCTCAAAAGCAATTTTACGTTGATTATTCCAATCAAAACACACATGTTGTCATCCCTAAGGTTCCTTATCTACTTCTACTACTATTTAAATCTTCACATTAATAAAAAGAAAAAACGAAAAATTTATTGAAATGAAGATTTCGTATGGTTCAGAAATCCTCCTCTAAATTAAAGTATACGTGACCATTCTAAGGGCCACTATGTTTGTAGCTACGTCAAGGTCTCTTCCATGGAATGAATACAAGAAACTTCTAAAAGAATCAGGCGTGCGCGAAAAAAATGAGTGTAATGGGTGCGGGGGATATATATCCCGCACGGTCCGACATGGCCTGCAATGCGCGGGATATATATCCCCCGCGTTGTCGTCAATGTGTTAAGCATTAAGCTAATGTGTAAGTCATAACTCTAAGCCTCAGCCTGAATCCAACCTTAAGCTGGAATCATCGTGCAGCGCGAGAACCAAATGCCTCCCCATGTCAAAGGAGGAAGTGGGGGCGCGAGAGGGGGGGGTTGGGGGGGGGAGGGTAACGCTTGGTCTCAGAATCAACACTATACAGGGGGGGGGGGCAAAAAAAAGACATTTTGCCTATGTCGGACTTCGGCCCTTTTTTCTTCGCAGAGATTGCCGTCGTTGACGGGAGTTCCTCAGCAGAGTATTCCCTAAGTGTCCCTCTATAAGTGAACGCAGGCCCTCCTTCACTGCCCTCACCGTCTTCAGAATATGACGTCATCTGTCACCGTCGTCAGGCTCAAGGGTATAAGCCTATCTCACACAATTTCGTGAATCGATTTAATGTTGGATAGTTTTCTAGAGGCATTAGCTACCACTGTGCAAATCCCCTCGGAAACTAGCTTTCCAGTAAGGGTCGTTATGGTACACGATCCTTCGAAGACCCCATTGAGCTCGACCAGTGCACCATGTTTCCAGGGCTAAGTTGGGACATCGGGTTTGAATCGAGCAAAGTGTTATTAAATCCATCTGAAAAAGAAAACAAAATGTCTTTTTTTATTGGCTTCCTTGTAGAAACAGCCTGATAGTAAAATTGGTGAGGGATGGGGAAAGGATAGGGGACGTCTTGAGGAACTCTCCTATGGTGGTGGTAAGGGGTCGCAGCAAGACTTTTATGAAAAGAAGTCGTAAAGTTTTTGGAATTTTGGAACAACAGATAGTTGACTCTGCCTACACCGCTTTGCCCCTTCCTGATGACAACGAAAATAAGTTGGGCATATGTTTGCCATTACAAAGCCTATTTCTCAATACTAATATGCATTCAAATCATCGCATTCTCGCGGTTGGAGTAAAAACTTAAACTTATGTCGCACTCGCAAAAAATTCTTAAAAGCCTAGCAGTTTGGATGTTATCCTTTTATCTTATCGTTAGGGGGATTCACCAGCTGAATTTCATCTTCGATATAATTGTCTTTTCGAATGCATAAAACCGCTCCGGGCCGAGGATTATGCGCTTGCGGGCCGTTTGTTTGCGCTTTCGGATCGACAGTCGTGCACGTCAGAATGTTCTCTTCTCGCTTCAAGGTCCGCACCACTGTAGCCCATGAAATGATACCAGTGCCCCCAAGCCTAACAAAAAAGGCAGAACAGCTGAAATAGACAACTTCGCACATGCAATAGCGAAACCGACTGCTATCCACTATACTGTCGCAAAACCGCGGGTGAACATTACCTAGGAGATGGCCGTGGCAGTACGCTCCTCCCTTGAACGCAGGTCTCGTTGTATCTCTAATCAAGACCCAAAGATATCCCCGAGTTTTTCACTTCCATGACACA